TCTTTCATGTTTATAGATGAAAAGACAGAGACATTTCCATGGACAAGTTTCTTCAAATGTCTCTATAATAAATGTTTTTTCTTGTCCGCTGTCTCGTATGTGAAGTCCAATATTATTCATGGTAAGGAGATACGGTCGAGTAACTTTCCTTTTGGTGGAGTCTCTAAATTCTGATGATCTGTGCTATCCATGGGAGGTGGGAAGGGTTAGAAGGGAGTGTTGGGTGTGTGGTGTGTGAGGAGGCCCTGGTGGAGACATGGCAGGTGTTTTGTTGATCCCCAGGGCTATTGCTGGCCTTCTGAAAATGAGTCAGGAGGAGTCCTATGATTTTCAGTTGTGTGGTTTGGACTGAAATGACCTAGTTTGGGTTCCATATCCCTTTGCATCAAGAGTGGTAGTCACACATGCTTTGAGGAGTCCATGTGCTGAAGAATGGTGATGTTGCCTTTGAGGTGATACTTGGATGTGTGGGTCTTTGACAGAGCTGGAAATAATTTATGGCCTGTATGACATTTCTCACTTGTTGAAGTAATATGGAGGAGCAGAATAATGTTAGTTGTGATGTTTGGGCTCTGAGAAGCTGTGCACATTAGTTTTCTTCTAATGATGTTCGATTACAAAATTTGCTGTCATGTTATGTTTTGGCAGAGATAAGAAGTCTGTGTATGCAGAGACGGGGCTGGTGCTGGAGTTCAGTGGGATACAGTTCAAAATGAATGAATGAATTGTGTCCAGTTCTGTTTGTCCTGGTATTTAGATGATGCCCCAGCTGTGGTTCCAAGCTTTTCCTTTCTCTTTGTGTCCAAGGCAATGACAGTGTGGGGCCTGTGGAGTGACTCCTGTGTGAGGCCCCTGTGTATTGGTTCCAGTCCAGTTCCCTGGGTTGTGTATATCCTGCAGTTGAGCCAATCTGCAATGTGAGGCCATGATTGATACTCTTGTGGTGTTTTCCCATTCTTGGCTGGGTTGATGTCAGTTTCTTTGCGTAATTGGTTTTGTTTGGATTGTTTGCTGTTTTGCTTGTATTTTTCTTCTTCTCTATTTTTTGGAGTAAAGTTATCCTCATTGATCCTGGCAATTCTGCAAACTCCAAAACATATAATTATCCAGTAGGGAGAGTATCTCTCATGCATCTCTTGGAGCTGTACATGTAATCATCTTATCCTGGACACACGGAATCATAGAAAGGTTTGTGTTGCAAAGCACCTTAAAGATCCTCTCATTCACCCTCCTCTGCCATGGGCAGGGACATCTTCCGCCAGAGCAGGTGGCTCAGAGCCCCAGCCAGCCTGACTTTGGATATTTCATTCTAGAAATACAACTTCATGAATGGATGTTTCCCCAAGCTCTTGCTTTTTCTGTGGCCAACATGGAATGAAAGTTTTGGTTTGTGTTGATGGTGAAACTGAAGGCTGTGAATGCAGAGTGAGGAGGGTGAGAGCTCAGTTCTGTGCTGGGCAAATGGGGGACTCAGTGTGGGTTTGGCAGAGAAATGGTTTGATTTCATGCTTGGTGCCACAGGCAGTGCCCTTGCTGTTCTGATCCTGGTGTCTCTGTCATGAAAGACAATGTCAGTCCTGCAACTGTAACATTTTGCACAGTAACTGTTCATGTAGAACCATAATTGTTGGCTGGAAGAGCTAATTAATCCTGTGTGAAACCTCCATTATCCACCTGTATCTCTATGCCACAATATGATATTGAGTTTCTTCAGAATTATAATTTCACTTTCATTCAAGCCTTTGTTTCCAAAAAGGCCACAGGTCATTTTCCACAATTTTGGTCAGTATTTTTAAATAGGAAACAGTGACTGTGGTTTTTCAGCACATCCTTAATTCCGTCACTCAAGACTGAACAGTGTGTGGGGACTATGGGGCAGAAGTGATAAGGGCATCTGCTGTAAATTGTCAGATGATGTACCTTGAGAAAGAGGCTGATGAGAAGCTGTTTAAAATGATGGTTTCATGACTGGGCAAGGTGAGCAGGCCATGCAATAGAAAAAGTTGTTGAGGAGAGGACTCATTCTTGAAATGAGCCCACCAGTCTCTTGTCCCATCTAAGTCCTCAGGGCCAAACACTTGCAGATTCTTAATGACTTCTACATCCTCTCAGGTATGAATTTTAAGGCCTGGAATAAAGGCCTATAAGACTTCACAGTGAGCAGCTCTGACTCCTTGTTGTCTTCTAATGTTTCTTTGTCCTGTCTGATCCATATTTTTGGGGTTTCTGTGGTTTTTTTGCTTTGTTTTGTTCTTCCTTGATTTACTCAGTAGGTGGGTATCCTTACTATTGTCAACAATCCATCTGTTTTGAGCAATGTATGATGTGTTAATGTCCCCTGCTCTTGTTGCAGTGGAAGGCAGGAGATATGATAGTGACTTTTCTTCCTGTTCCTGTCGGGAGAAATAGATATAAATATGACTTTAGTAGACTTTGCCTCTCTGTGGAACAGAGCATGTGATAAAGATGGGGAGGAGATTCCCCCTAAGCCAATGGTGTGATGAGCCATTCTCAGTTGGATGTCTGCTGATCTTTTAGTATGATTGTTTATCATTTGTGTGCTCTAGAATCCTTCAGTTCCTTATCATAATGGTGGTGAGCAGACAATTGTAGCTCCCTTCTGGGTGTGGCTGCAGTGCATTATCATCTCATGAGAGATTTGAGCAGTGAGGAGATGGCCACAAGCAAAACCTCACAGTGGCCTGGCATGGAAGAAAAAGCAGAGAGGGGAGCTCTGTGTGTGAGGCTAGAGAAGAACTGGGTCATTGCCTTGCTGGTCACATGTCACAGATAACACCAGGCTGTGCCTGCTGGAGTGCAGTGGGATCTGAGTTGGTTCTGTAGAGCAAGGCAGACCCACAAAATGTCATTTTGCATCCGTCCATTTCCATGTGTTTCTGAGTCTTGCATTGCTTGTGGTCATGAGCTCAGCCTCAGGGTGTCTGATCTCATGTGGAAGGTCTCCTGTGTGCCAGCTGCCCCAGTGCAGGTGCAGTTGCCACACCCAGCTGTGATGTTTCCAGCTGCACAGAGGAAGGGTTTGACAAGCACTCCTGGTGTGCTCAGCCAGGAACCTTTTGTCTGTAGTGTAATCATGCAGGATCATCTGTGCTGCAGCTGTCCAAGTGCAGAGTGAGCAGGCAGCCCAGGCAAGGTTTCCATGGACAGAGCAGGGCCCAGTGGGAGAAGGTGTGCAGTGTCCCCCAGGCCATCCCCCAGAGGAACATGCTGGGCAATCAGCTGGAGGCTGTCAAATGGCTGAGGAACAGGCTGGAGAGTCACCTGCAGAGAGTTACAGGCAGTGGCTCCATGTCCAGGTGCAAAGCAGGGACTTGTGCTGTCCCTCAAGGGCCCTGACTGGGCCCAGTTCTGTTCAGCACCTGCATGGCCAAGGGGATTGAGGCACCTTCAGGCAATTTGCAGCTGACACAATTGGAGTTGATTCAGTGCAGGGCAGAGATGGCAGCCATGGATGGGCTGGAGAAGTGGCCCCGTGTGGCCATCATGGAATGGATCAAAGTGCAAGGTCCTGCAGCTGGGGTGGAGCAATCCCCAGTTGAAAGAGAGAGTGGGGGATAGGGAAGAGCTTTGCAGAGAAGTTCTTTGGGGTATTAGTGGGTGATGAGGTGGGACATGAGCTGCCCATGGGCACCTGCTGCTGGAATTGTGTCCTGCACTGCATGACAAGCTCTCTGCCTGGCAGGTCCTGCCTCCCCTCTGAACTCTTTTTGTGAGAGCATGGACTGCATGGGGATCTTGGACCAATATCCCAATGGACATGCCAGAGTTCCCAGAAGGATCATGGAAGTGGACTGAGGGTTGTCTGCAGTGCAGATGGGCTGAAGGTGTTGTAGGTCTTCCAGCACAAAGAAATTATACCGCTGCATAGGCTTTTTAATTTATTTATAAATGAGCTTTTAGGAAAGATGGGGCAAGCTCTTTTTTATGAGGTCCAGTGATCATAGGACAGCAGACTATTCTTTTCCACTAAACTAAGGGAGATTTTGATTAGGAGTAATTTTTTTTGGTGTGAGTTGTTTTAAAATGGTTGATATTGTTCAGAGAAGTTTTTAACATGCCTCCAACATTCAAGTCTAGCAGAAAGTGTTCCTGTTCATGTCAGAGCTGTGGATTAAATGGCCTTTAGAGCAATGGAAACTAAAAATATTGTTTGGGTTTATGAGGGACTCAGTGTTGTTTTGCTTTCCGTTGTCAGGTGCTCAGATATGGATGAATGAAACAACTCAGAGTTAGCAACTTTAATGAGTCAGAAATGAAAGAGTAAATGTTATTCTGCTGTCTTGGCATAGGGTATCCTCACATTGCTTTAGGGTGATCTCTATCTCATATTAAATATTTCTCAAGTAATGAATAACACTTCAAGACATGTGAAAAAGTGCGAAAAAACTCTTCAAGTCTTCCCTATATTATCCTTTATTGCTGCTGCAGATGGGCCGTCATTTTATTAAGAGCAGTTGAATTCCATTCTTTACTGCCCTGCAATGAATATTTGCTTCTTTCTGTAGAATGTGACTGAAAAGAATGCCCTAAAAGCACCTGGCAGTACATCTGAGATAGAAAGGCCTTGGAGTGGAATTAAGGCAGAGCTGCTGCTGTGGGTGTTTGCAGTCGGGGAGAGCCCCCGGGGCCGGTGCAGGCGCTGAGCCCCGGCCAAAGCCGGGCCCCGTTGAGCGCGGGCATGCGGCGGCTGCAGTGTCGCGGCGGCGCCTCCGGGTGTCGCTGTTGTCCGGCGCCGAGCGGCGCTGGAGCCGCCGCCGCCGCCGCCGCAGCGTCCTGCCCCCGCAGGCTGCTCGCTCGGCCGGCGCCGGCCACAGCGGCAGCGGCACCGCCAGCAGCAGCAGCAGCAGCGAGAGGCGGCGAGAGGCGGCGCGGCGAGCTGGGTGTGTTTGAGCGGTGTCTGTTTTGGGCGGCGAGAGCGGCTGGAAGGGAGGCAGGGCAGCGGCAGTCGGCAGGAGCGCGGCGAGCGCAGTGGGCAGAGAATGGCGGTGAGGCAGAGGCGGCAGAGGCGCGGGCCGGGCGGCGGGCGAGCGCTGCTGGCCGCGCTGCTGCTGCTGCTGCTGTGCGTGTGGTGCCGGGCGGCGGGCGAGCGGCTCCGCTACGCCATCCCCGAGGAGCTGGGCAGAGGCTCGCTCGTGGGGCCGCTGGCGCGGGACCTGGGGCTCAGCGCGGACGAGCTGCCGGCGCGCAAGCTGCAGGTGGCGTCTGCCGGCAAGAAGCAGCTGAAATACTTCACTGTGAATGAGGAGAACGGGAACCTGTACGTGAACGAGAGGTTGGACCGGGAGGAGATGTGCGGCGATTCGGCGACCTGCTCCGTCAGCTTCGAGGTGCTGGTGCACAACCCGCTGAACATTTTCAGTGTCGAGGTGGCGATCGAAGACGTGAATGACAATTCCCCGGTCTTCAGCAAGGCTGTTCTGGACCTCGAGATCGGTGAATTAATCCCTCCAGGTGCTCGGTTTCCTCTGGAGATGGCTCGAGACGCTGATATAGGAACAAACTCGCTTCTAACTTACCAACTCACCAGCAACCCGTCTTTTTCATTATCCATGAAGGAAAAGGCGGGTGGAAAAAAGCAGCCAGAATTGGTGCTGGAGAGAGCTTTGGACCGAGAGAAGCAGAGTTCCTTTGAGTTGGTGTTGATGGCGGTGGACGGTGGGGACCCCACGAGGTCTGGGAGTGTTCCGGTTCGTATCAACGTGACAGACGCAAACGACAACCCACCCGTGTTCAGCAAAAGCGTCTATGAAGCGAGAGTGGCAGAGAATCTGCCGACGGGATCGCTGGTACTGCGTGTGGTGGCCACAGATGCAGATGCGGGCTCCAATGGGCGGGTCTCCTACTCCTTCAGCAGCGTCCCAGAGAGTGTCAAGGCGTTGTTCGCTATCGACAGCGAAAGCGGCGAGATAATGACGTCCGGTCCCCTGGATTTCGAGGAGAAGAGTAAATACATCTTCGGCCTGGAGGCGACTGACGGAGGCGGGTTGACGGCTCACTGCGAAGTGCAAATCGATATCCTGGACGAGAATGACAACGCGCCCGAGATCACCATTCTGTCACTGTCGAGCCCAGTTCCTGAGGACGCACCGACTGGCACCGTGGTGGCTTTGCTGAACGTGAACGACCCGGACTCCGGCGAGAACGGTCAGGTGTCGTGCTCGCTGTCGGGAGAGGCGCCGCTGTCGATCGTGGCGTCGTCGGGCGGCTCGTACAAGGTGGTGACATCGGGCGCGCTGGACCGCGAGCAGGCGTCGGAGCAGCGCGTGACGGTGGTGGCCCGGGACCGGGGCAGGCCGGCGCTGTGGAGCAGCAGGGAGCTGGTGCTGGAGGTGTCGGACGTGAACGACAACGCGCCGGTGTTCGAGGAGGCGGCGTACAGCGCGTACGTGGCGGAGAACAACGCGGCGGGCGCGCTGGTGCTGCGCGTGCAGGCGCGGGACGCGGACGCGGGCGCCAACGGGCGCGTGAGCTACTGGCTGGCGGGCGGCAGCGCGGGCGCGGCGGGCGCGGCGCCGCTGGTGTCGGTGGAGGCGCGGAGCGGCGCGCTGTACGCGCAGCGCTCCTTGGACTACGAGCAGTGCCGCGAGTTCACGGTGGCCGTGCGGGCGCAGGACGGCGGCTCGCCGGCGCGCAGCTCCACGGCCACGGTGCGCGTCTTCGTGCTGGACCGCAACGACAACGCGCCCAGGGTGCTCTGGCCCGCGGCGGCGGCGGCGGCGGCGGGAGAGGGTCCGGGAGGGGCGGCGGCGGCGGCGCCTTTCGAGGTGGTTCCGCGCTCGGCCGAGGCCGGCTACCTGGTGGCCAAGGTGGTGGCGGTGGACGCGGACGCGGGGCGCAACGCGTGGCTGTCCTACGAGCTGGTGCAGGCGTCGGAGCCGGCGCTGTTCCGCGTGGGGCTGCACAGCGGCGAGGTGCGCACGGCGCGCGCCGTGGGCGAGCGGGACGCGGCCAAGCAGCGGCTGGTGGCCGTGGTGAAGGACCACGGGCAGCCGGCGCTGTCGGCCACGGCCACGCTGCACGTGGTGCTGGCCGAGAGCTTGCAGGAGGCGCTGCCGGAGCTGAGCGAGCGGCCGGCGGGCGCCGAGGCGGCGGCGGCGGCGGCCGAGCTGCAGTTCTACCTGGTGCTGGCGCTGGCGCTGCTCTCGGCGCTCTTGGTGCTGAGCGTGGCGCTGGCCGTGCTGGCGCGGCTGCGCCGGGCCGGGCCGCCCGCCGTGCTGCGCTGCCTGGGCGCGCAGCGCTTCTCGCTGGCCGGCGCCGCCTTCCCGGCCGACTTCTGCGAGGGCACCTTGCCCTACTCCTACAACCTGTGCGTGCCGCCGCCCGCCCGCGCCCTGCCCGAGGCCGCTTGGCCGCCGCCGCCGCCGGTGCCCATCCTGTCGGCGGAGGAGCTTCTGGGCGGCGATTCCTGCGACAAGCCGAGCCCGAGCACTGACCTCGTCGAGGGAGAGCCGCCCGCCAATCCCGATGCACCACAGGTCTGTAAATCGTGAGCTTCTTCTGTTTTTAGAAGTTCCCGAAACGTCATCTTTTTTCGCCACGTGTTTTTTTTTTTGCCTGGTGTTAGTGGGGATTCGTCATCTGTATACTCACGTAGCAGTGGGAGTTTTTCAATTTTTTCTCTGTAACAGCTTCAGCTGACAGGTTTTTTTGATAGCTCTCCTTTCGGCTAGTAGCTGTGTTTCTCAATGTGTCTCCTTATTTCTTGGAGTCGGGTTTATGTGAGTTGCACAGTCCTGTCTCCGTGACGGACTGAGTGAAGGAATTGGCTATCCCCCGTTCATGGCGAGCAGGCAGCTCTTGGTTCTTCCTTGGTCACAGGTTCAGCTTCAGGCTCGCGGTTTTCTCCTTAACACTTGAGATCCATAAATTAGAATCTATTAGCAACATTGAAAGCAGATTCTTGTTCTGTGGAAGGGGAACGGCTGATTCTGCATGACGGAGTCGAGGAAAGAAAAAAGAGAGCACTGACATCTCGTGCTGGAGATATTTCTTCCCTGACTGATTTGTTCAGAAAGGATGTGCTTGGAACTCGTGTATAGCTTGACCCAAACCCATTATTTAAACTTTTTTTTTTTTTTTTTTTTTTTTTTTTTTCCTGTTAGATTTAGAAAGCAAACGAATGTCGAAAGTTAAAGGAAAGGAATGTGGAAAGTTCCTTTCACTCTTTTTTCTGCGTGATAGAAGAGATTGTTACCCGTTTTGGGGGGAATGCAGTAGTGGGGATAGCTGTCTTCGTTCATGCGTCCTGGCTGGCAGTTCGCTCTGTTTTGCTCTTCATGATCTTTATTTCATATACTGGTGAGAGTGCTGAAAGATTTCTGTTTCAGGGATTGTTATTTTTCTATCTCACAACGATGTTGGGGGTGTTAGCAGGTCTGAAATATCTCGAGAACAGCAAAACTTTGCAATTCTGTTTATTAGGATAAACATCTGAGATATTAAGGAATCCCATATGAGGGAGATTGGCCAGAGGAGGGTTTAGGCACTTGAATCAAGCCAATTTGCACATTGATTAGTAGTCAGCAGTTTCAAGACTTCTACTTTTTTTTTACGGTTCCATGGTTGTTTTCCTGAGCGCATATTGTATCACAGTCATTAAGAAATATTTAGATGATTAGTTTACTAACGGGCTTCAGTGCTTCACACATTGATTTTGGGGGAAAAAAAGGAAAGCTAGAATGACTTGAATAACTGCAAACCTGTATAAACTAAGGAAACACTGGGCGTATCTTAGCAAACGACATCAAGTATTTCCAGTCCTGAAAGATTCCCCTGAGAGTTTATGCAGCATCTTTATTTGTACTTTTAATTGAATCCTGTACCAATAGGCTCCCTGACTTCAAGAAGTATGCAATTGCTCTCGTCCCACTTGTGTTAAAGAACCTGTAAACTGTTTCTTCCGGATGTGTTTCTTCCCGTTTTCTCTCTGCGAGGCTGTTGTTGAAGATGACTTTGAACAAAAAGGATAATCTTAAGAATAAGCTACAGGGTGAAAGACGAAAAATTAGTTTTAATTTACATACTGACATTATTTCCATAATGACATGAATAAATGATGGGTTTCCTGTGCTGTTAAAGAACCCCGCCCACAGAATGCCTCTGCCTTCCTCCCGATGGTGATAGCCTGGAGGATGAAAGCAGAGATGGGCTGGAGAAATGCGGAGGCAGGAGATCGGCGCTGGACGAAAAGCGCCATCTCGGTGGCGACCGTGGCCTGTATGGAGCAAGGCAGGGCGGGCAGCGCTGGGCAGCGCTCGGTGCCTGCAGTGCCGGGAGGAGGCTGCGGGCGCCGCTGTTGACCGAGAGGAGCGAGAGGAAGCTCGGAGCGCTACCGGCAGCCCCGCCCGCTGCGGATCGGCTCACTCGGTTGCTCGCTCCGTGTCCGAACGTGCGGTCCCCGATCGTCCCCGCGGTGCTGGTCCATTGTGGAGCCAGGCGGAGGCAGCGTCAGCTGCGCACGGTGCAGGAGGTGCGAGCATTGAGTGGCAGCGGGATTGGATCGGCGGTGCTGCGGTGCCGGCGGTTCCACGGGCGAGATGTGCGCGGCGGGGAGGCGCTGGGGCCGGCGGCAGCGAGCTCTGCTCTGGGCCGTGCTGCTGGCGGCGTGGGAGGCGGCGTGGGGGCAGCTGCGCTACTCGGTGCCCGAGGAGATGCCCAAGGGCTCCTTCGTGGGCGACGTGGCCAAGGACCTGGGGCTGCAGCTGCCGGAGCAGAGCGACCGCGGGTTTCAAATTGTTTCCGAAGGTCGGACACGGTATTTCGCTCTGCACGGGAAGACGGGACATTTAGTGACGGCGGAGAGGATCGACAGAGAGCAGCTGTGCCGGCTGGTGGAGAAATGCGTGCTGCGCTGTGAGCTGATAGTGGAGGGGGAAATGAAATTCTATGAAATAGAAGTGGAAATCACTGATATTAACGACAACGAGCCCATCTTCCGAGAGGCAGAAATAGAACTGAGAATGAGCGAGACGACAGCTCCGGGGTCGCGGTTTCCCCTGGCCGAGGCTCACGACCCGGACTCGGGCCGGAATTCGCTGCAGAGCTACGAGCTGAGCGGTGACGAGCACTTCTCGCTGGCCGTGCAGGCGGGCCCCGGCGGCGATCAGCGTCCCGAGCTGGTGCTGGCCAAGGCGGTGGACCGGGAGGAGGCGGCGTTTCACGAGCTGGTGCTGAGGGCGAGCGACGGCGGCGATCCGGCATGGACGGGCACGGCTCGGATCCGCGTGACCGTGCTGGACGTGAACGACAACGCGCCCGTGTTCAGCCAGGCGGAGTACACGGTGCGTGTGCCCGAGGACGTGCCCGTGGGCTCTGTCCTCGTCACTGTCACGGCCACGGACGCCGACGAGGGGCTGTATGGACACGTGAAATACTCGTTGAAAAAAGTGTCGGACATGGCATCAGAAATTTTTCGTTTGGGTTATGAGACCGGAGAGATCCTGCTACTGAGAATTCTTGACTTCGAGGAAAACAATTCCTATGAACTGGAGGTGCAGGCATATGATGGAGGAGGACTTTTTGATACTACCAAAGTCACGATCTCCATCACAGACGTCAACGACAACATGCCAGAAATTTCAGTGACGTCAGCGATTAGCGAAATATCTGAGGATGCTCCGTCGGGGACAGTGGTAGCCCTCCTACACGTGCAGGACCGAGACTCGGGGGCCAACGGCGAGGTGCGCTGCTCGATCGACAAGGACGTTCCGTTCCGGCTTCAAAGATCGCAGGGCAATTACTACAGCGTGGTGACGGCGAGAGAGCTGGACCGGGAGCAGGTGTCGGAGTACAACGTGACGGTGCGGGCGGCCGACGGCGGGTCGCCGGCGCTGCAGAGCAGCGCGGTGCTGGCGCTGCGGGTGCTGGACGTGAACGACAACGCGCCGGTGTTCTTGGAGGAGCGCTACAGCGCGCGGCTGGCGGAGAACAACGCGGCGGGCGCGCTGGTGCTGACGGTGCGCGCCACGGACGCGGACTGGGGGCAGAACGCGCGCGTGCGCTACCGGCTGGCGGAGGGGCGGGTGCGGGGCGCGCCGCTGTCGTCGTACGTGTCGGTGCAGGCGGAGACGGGCGCGCTGTACGCGCTGCGCTCCTTGGACTACGAGCAGCTGCGCGAGCTGCAGCTGTGCGTGCGGGCGGAGGACGGCGGCGCGCCGGCGCTGAGCAGCAACGTGTCGGTGCGGCTGCTGATCGTGGACGAGAACGACAACGCGCCGCAGGTGCTGTACCCGGCGCCGGCCGCAGCGGCGGGCTCGGGCGCTGCTGCGGCGTGGTCGGGCGTGGAGCTGGCGCCGCGCTGGGCCGAGGCCGGCGCGCTGGTGGCCAAGGTGGTGGCGGTGGACGCGGACGCGGGGCAGAACGCGTGGCTGTCCTACGAGCTGGCCAAGGCCACGGAGCCGGGGCTGTTCCGCGTGGGGCTGCACAGCGGCGAGGTGCGCACGGCGCGCTCGCCGCTGGCCCGCGACGCGGCGCGCCACGTGCTGCTGGTGCTGGTGCGGGACCACGGGCGGCCGGCGCTGTCGGCCACGGCCACGCTGAGCGTGGTGCTGGCCGAGAGCGTGGCCGAGCTGCTGGCCGAGCTGGGCAGCGCGGCCCACGAGGCGGCGGCGCCGGGCGAGCCGGCCGCCAGCCTGACGCGCTGGCTCGTGCTGGCCGTGGCCGCCGTCTCGTGCCTCTTCGTGGCCTTCCTGCTGCTGCTGCTGGCGCTGCGCCTGCGCCGCTGCCACCGCCAGCAGCTGCTGCCGCCGGACAGCGGCGCCTTGCGCGGCGTGCCCGTCTCGCACTTCGTGGGCATCGACGGCGTGCGCGCCTTCCTGCAGTCCTACTCGCACGACGTGTCGCTCACGGCCGACTCGCGCAAGAGCCACCTGCGCTTCTCGGCCGCCAGCTGCTGCGACACCCTCCCGGCCCGGCCGCCGCCCGACGAGCCCGCGCCGCTGCTCGGGGACGGGGACCCGGCCGGCGCCCTCCCCTCGGACCCCGCCCCTTCCTCGGTGAGTTTCTCTGTCCAAATTGTCTCCGCGACGCTTTCTTGTGATGCAGCCCTGCCCTTTCCCCGCCGTGTTCTTTGGCTTGCCTAGGAAAGTTTGTCTAGAAGCATGGTAAAGTTTCCTTCGATGAAAGTTTGACGGCTGGGGTCCATTGGTGTCGGTATGTAAACATGGGTTGGGTCCTCAGCCTTCCAGTATGTGAAGAAGGAAGAGGGAAAAGGCTGCTGCTGGCAGGCTCTTGCTTAGGTCGAATGTTTGGGTATTGATAACGTTCCCCTCTCTCAGCTGTGCTGTCTAGAATCTGTGTTCCTGATAGCTTTGGCTCTCCTGAAGATATGGATCTCCTTACTAAGAAATTCAGCTTTTTTGGAGGTTCACGTGTCTTCCCAATAGCACACATGCATGAATATTTCGAATGTGTCTTGAACACAAGGCTGATGGCTTTGTGTGGGAATTTCTGCACGTTCTTATTGGCCTTTATTGTTCTCCATGATACATAATGAAGGTCAGCAGGAAGTATTTGTGTCATTCACGCTTTGGTCTTTTTTGGGAAGAGGGGATTGGACCAGGCAACAAATGGTCTTTGGTGCTGTCTGTCTACCTGCTTTGAAGACGAAAGATCCTTTTGAAGTTTTGATTCTTTGAAAAACCTGTGTGTGGCTGCATGTGGAGCATGAAATTCAGGAGGAAATGGCAGAACTGCTTTGTTTTGTCTTGTTTTTCCAGGTAGGGCTATGTCAGATGGAGCTGGATGAGCTTTAGTTATAAAATATTTAGCATGGCAAGAGAATTGCCTGGATGGGAAGGAGAGATTCAAGGTGCAGTGGGAGATACAAGGTGGGCATAATTCCCTGTGAGCAGATATTCACTGTGTCAGTGTCTCTTGGAAGGCTGCTCTGAGAGACCTATGAAGTCTCTTCCCAGAACTGCAGTGAGCAGCAAATGTAGCTTGCACAGCACAGAGATGTACAGAGAGCTGTGTGCAATTGGTGCTGGGAAGAGAAATGGTCTGGGGAACTGGGCCTCCACTGTCCCATGTTTGTAAGGTGTATGGGTGAAAGGACACCATGGATGGTGTGAAGGGCTGGAAATCTGAGTGCTGTGAGCTGTGTGTGAATGTCTGCTGAAAGACTCAATGGATTGTTTTCCTCCATTCCCTTTCCAGTTCCTACTTCAGGGATGAAACAATGTGAGGTTTTTCTTCCCCAAGTAATTGTCTAGAAGATCTGTATTCCAGCTGCCTGGAGAAGAACTCTGGAAGGATCTTGCTGAGTATTTCAGCGTCATCATAATGGTGTCACTTCACAGCTTAATTTTGTACTTTTGACAGATGGGGTATGGGAATTGCGAGCTGTGTATTTAGTGCTTATATACAACAACATCAATCATCTACTTTGACTTATATAACCCAGAAGAGTGTTGGGAACTCTTCAGTTCTGCAGATGTTAACTTTCTGTCTCATTCTTCTGATCATCTGAAGATGGTTCTTTCATGTTTATAGGTGAAAAGAGAGAGACTTCCTTAGAGATGTTTCTTGAGAATATTTCAGTAATAAATGCTTTTTCTTGTCCCATGGCTAGGGTGAGATGTCGAATATTATCAGTAGTAAGGAGATACAGTTGAGGAACTTTCCTTTTGATGAAGCCTCTCTAAATTCTGAAGGTCTCTGCAATCCATGGGAGCTGTGACAGGTTTACGTGGGACTGTTGCTTTTGTGGTGTGTGAGGAGGTCCTGGTGGAGACATGGCAGGTGTTTTGTTGATCCCAAGGGCTATTGCTGGTCTTCTGGAAATTAGTCAGGAGGAGTCTTATGATTTTCACTTGTGTGGTTTGGACTGACGTGGCCTAGTTTGGGTTCCATATCCCTTTGCATCAAGAGTGGTAGTCACACATGCTTTGAGGAGTTCATGTGCTGAAGAGTGGTGATGTTGCCTTTGAGGTGATACTTGGATGTGTGGGTCTTTGACAGAGCTGGAAATAATTTGTGGCCTGTATGACATTTCCCACTTGTTGAAGTAATATGGAGGAGCAGAATAATGTTAGTTGTGATGTTTGTGCTCTGAGAAGCTGTGCACACAACTTTTCTTCTAATGATGTCTGTATGCAAAATTTGCTGTCATGTTATGTTTTGGCAGAGAGAAGAAGTCTGTGTATGCAGAGACAGGGCTGGTGCTGGAGTTCAGTGTGATGCAGTTCAAAATGAATGAATGAATTGTGTCCAGCTCTGTTTGTCCTGGTATTTAGATGAGGCCCCCAGCTGTGGTTCCAAGCTTTTCCTTTCTCTTTGTGTCCAAGGCAATGACAGTGTGGGGCCTGTGGAGTGACTCCTGTGTGAGGCCCCTGTGTATTGGTTCCAGTCCAGTTCCCTGGGTTGTGTATATCCTGCAGTTGAGCCAATCTGCAATGTGAGGCCATGATTGATACTCTTCTGGTGTTTCCCATTCCTAACTGGGTTGATTAAGGTTTCTTTGGATAATTGGGTTGGGTTGTTTTTTTGTTGGTGTGCTTGTATTTGTGTCAAGGAGTAAAGTTGATCCTCATTTTGCCTGGAAATCCTGCAAACTCCAAAATATTCTCCAGTAGGGAGAGTGTCTCTCATCCATCCCTTGAAGCTGTACTTGTAATCATCTTATCCTAGACACACAGAATCATAGAAAGGTTTGTGTTGAAAACCACCTTAAGGATCCTCTTGTTCCAGGTCCTGTGTCATGGGCAGGGACATCTTCCACCAGAGCAGGTGGCTCAGAGCCCCAGCCAGCCTGACCTTGCATATGTCATTCAAGAAATACAACTTCATGAATGGATGTTTCCCCAAGCTGTTGCTTTCTCTGTGGCCAACGTGGAACCAAAATTTTGGTTTGCATTGATGGTGAAACTGAAGGCTGTGAATGCAGAGTGAGGAGGGTGAGAGCTCAGTTCTGTGCCAGGCAAATGGGGGACTCAGTGTGGGTTTGGCAGAGAAATGGTTTGAGTTCATGCTTGGTGCCAAAGGCAGTGCCCTTGCTGTTCTGATCCTGGTGTCTCTGTCATGAAAGATAATTACAGTCTTCTAACAATAACATTTTGCACAGTAACTGTTCATGTAGAACCATGATTGTTGGCTGGAAGAGGCAATTAATCCTGTGTGAAACCTCCATTATCTGTATCTCTAGGCCACATTGTGATATAGAGTTTCTTCAGAATTATAATTTCACTTTCATTCATGCCTTTGTTTCCAGGAAGGTTGCAGCTCATTTCCCCAGTTCTGGTCATTACTTTGAAATATGAAACAGTGACTGATGTTTTTCAGGATGTCCTTTTTTCAGCCACTTAGAACTAAAGAGTGTGTGTGGGGAATAGGAAGCAGAAGCAATAAGAGAATCTGTTGTGATTTGTAGAAGATTTACCTTGAGAAAGAGGCCAATGAGAAGTTGTTTAAAATGGTGGTTTCCTACCTGTGCCAGGTGAGCAGGCCATGCAATAGAAAGAGTGGCTGAGGAGAGGACTCATTCTTCAAACGAACCCCCCTATCCTGCTGTGCTGTGTGAGTCTTGAGAGCCACACTTGCCCCTTGAGACCTCAGTAACTTCCAGGTGCTCTCAGGTGTGAATTTTAAAGCCTGCAAACAAGGCCTGGAAGACTTCACAGTGAGCATCAATGACTACTTGTTATTCAATAGTGCTTCCTATCCTTATCTGATTCATGTTTTGGGGTTTTCTGCAGGTCTTCTTGTTGCTGTTGTTGTTGTTTTTTGTAGAGTTTTTTTTTTTCATTTTGTTTTCCCTTGATTTACTCCGTGTGTGGCTAGACTTTCTATTATCAACAATCCATCTGTTTTGAGCAATGTATGGTGTGTTAATGTCCCCTGCTCTTGTTGCAGTGGGAGTGGAAGGCAGGAGATATGAGAGTGACGTTGTGTTCTGTTCCTGTTGGGAAAAATAGATGTAAATATGACTTTAGTAGACTTTGCCTCTCTGTGGAACAGAGCATGTGATAAAGATGGGCAGGAGATTCTCCCTAAGCCAATGGTGTGATGAGCCATTCTCAGCTGGATGACTGCTGACCTTTTAGTATGATTATCATTTGTGTGCTCTAGAATCCTTCAGTTCCTTATCATAACGGTGGTGAGCAGACAATTGTAGCTCCCTTCTGGGTGTGGCTGCAGTGCATTATCATCTCATGAGAGATTTGAGCAGTGAGGAGATGGCCACAAGCAAAACCCCACAGTGGCCTGGTGTGGATCTCCAGGGATGGGCTGGAGAAGTGGCCCCTGCAGCCATCATGGAATGGATCAAAGTGCAAGGTCCTGCAGCTGGGGTGGGGCAATCCCCAGTTGAAAGAGAGAGTGGGGGATAGGGAAGAGCTTTGCAGAGAAGTGCTTTGGGTTATTGGTGGGTGTTGAGGTGGGACATGAGCTGCCCATGGGCACCTGCTGCTGGAATTGTGTCCTGCACTGCATGACAAGCTCTCTGCCTGGCAGGTCGAGGGTGGTCCTTCACTCCCTCTGAACTCTTTTTGTGAGAGCATGGACTGCATGGGGATCTTGGGCCAATATCTCACTGGACATGCCAGAGTTCCCAGAAGGATGATGGAGGTGGCCTGAGGGTTGGAACATTTCTTTTATGATGAAGAACTGCAGTAGTTTGTGTCTTCCAACACAGAGAAATGATAGGTCTGTGTTGACTTTTGAATTTTTTTATAAACCGTTGTTAGGAAAGATGGGGCAAGCGCTTTTTATGAGGTCTAGGGTTCATTGTACACCATGTTGTTGTTTTCCACTAAAAGAAAGGTGTTTTTGATTAGGAGAAAGCTTTTCAGTGTGAGTTGTGTCAAAAAGGAAGATATTGCCCCGAGAAATTTTGGATGTGCCTCCAACATCCAAGTCTATCAGGAAGTGTTCCTGCTGGTGTCTGAGCTGTGGATTATATGGCCTTTAGAGAAAAGTATAAATTGGAAACTGAAAATATTGATTGCTTGCCTATCAAGGGGGCTCAGAGTTGCTTTACACTTTCTGTTGTCAGGCACTCAGATGTTGAGATGCAGATGAAGCAAGTTTTATGAATCAGAAAGAAAAGAGTAAATGTTATTCTCCTACCTTGTCATAGGGGATGCTTATTTTACTTTAGGCGGATCTATATCTCCAACTAATTGATCCCAGACAGTAAAAGAAGAATTCAAGACAAGTTTGAAAAAGCTCTGGAAGTCTCCCTATATTATAGGTTAATGCTGGTATAAATGAAATGTGATTCTATTACGAGAAGCTGAATTCCATTCTTTACTGCCCTGCAATGAATGTTTCTTTCTGACTGTAGAATGTGACTGAAAAGAATACCCTGAAAGCACCGGCCAGCACATGTCAGATAGAAAGGCCTTGGAGTGGAATTAAGGCAGAGCTGCTGCTGTGGGTGTTTGCAGTCGGGGAGAGCCCCCGGGGCCGGTGCAGGCGCTGAGCCCCGGCCAAAGCCGGGCCCCGTTGAGCGCGGGCCTGCGGCGGCTGCAGTGTCGCGGCGGCGCCTCCGGGTGTCGCTGTTGTCCGGCGCCGAGCGGCGCTGGAGCCGCCGCCGCCGCCGCCGCAGCGTCCTGCCCCCGCAGGCTGCTCGCTCGGCCGGCGCCGGCCACAGCGGCAGCGGCACCGCCAGCAGCAGCAGCGGCGGCGAGAGGCGGCGAGAGGCGGCGCGGCGAGCTGGGTGTGTTTGAGCGGTGTCTGTTTTGGGCGGCGAGAGCGGCTGGAAGGGAGGCAGGGCAGCGGCAGTCGGCAGGAGCGCGGCGAGCGCAGTGGGCAGAGAATGGCGGTGAGGCAGAGGCGGCAGAGGCGCGGGCCGGGCGGCGGGCGAGCGCTGCTGGCCGCGCTGCTGCTGCTGCTGCTGTGCGTGTGGTGCCGGGCGGCGGCCGAGCGGCTCCGCTACGCCATCCCCGAGGAGCTGGGCAGAGGCTCGCTCGTGGGGCCGCTGGCGCGGGACCTGGGGCTCAGCGCGGACGAGCTGCCGGCGCGCAGGCTGCAGGTGGCGTCTGCCGGCAAGAAGCAGCTGAAATACTTCACTGTGAATGAGGAGAACGGGAACCTGTATGTGAACGAGAGGCTGGACCGGGAGGAGATGTGCGGCGATTCGGCGACCTGCTCCGTCAGCTTCGAGGTGCTGGTGCACAACCCACTGAACATTTTCCACGTCGAAGTATCCATCGAGGATGTGAATGACAATTCCCCGACCTTCAGCAAGGCTGTTCTGGATCTCGAAATTGATGAATGGACTCTTGCCGGTGCTAGTTTTCCTTTGGAGACGGCTCGAGATGCGGACGCAGGAAGTAACTCCCAGATGACTTACCAGCTCACCAGCAACCCGTCCTTCTCTCTAGCCTTAAAGGAGAATCCCGACGGAGGCACGCAGCCAGAATTGGTGCTGGAGAGAGCGTTGGACCGGGAGAAGCAGAGCTCTTTTGATCTCGTGTTGATGGCGGTCGATGGCGGGGACCCCGCGAGGTCTGGGACTGTCCAAGTTCTTATCAACGTGACAGACGCCAACGACAACCCGCCCGTATTTAGCAAAAGCCTCTACGAAGCGGGAGTGTCAGAGAATCTGCCAGCGGGGTCACTGGTACTTCAGGTACAGGCGACGGATGCAGACGCGGGCACCAACGGGCAGGTGTCCTACTCGTTTGCCAACGTCCCTGACGCTATCCGTGCACTGTTTGCTGTCGATAGGGAAACTGGGGAGGTCAGGACGGCGGGTGCCCTCGATTTCGAGGAGAAGAGTAAATACACATTCGGCCTGCAGGCGAGGGATGGTGGGGGTTTGGTATCACACTGCAAGGTGCAAATAGACGTCATAGACGAGAACGACAACGCACCCGAGATCACGATTCTGTCACTGTCGAGCCCAGTGCCTGAAGACTCGCCAGTCGGCACGGTGGTAGCCCTGCTGAATGTAAACGACCCAGACTCCGGCGAGAACGGTGAGGTGTCGTGCTCGCTGTTGGGAGAGGCGCCGCTGTCGATCGTGGCGTCGTCGGGCGGCTCGTACAAGGTGGTGACATCGGGCGCGCTGGACCGCGAGCAGGCGTCGGAGCAGCGCGTGACGGTGGTGGCCCGGGACCGGGGCAGGCCGGCGCTGCGGAGCAGCAGGGAACTGGTGCTGGAGGTGTCGGACGTGAACGACAACGCGCCGGTGTTCGAGGAGGCGGCGTACAGCGCGTACGTGGCGGAGAACAACGCGGCGGGCGCGCTGGTGCTGCGCGTGCAGGCGCGGGACGCGGACGCGGGCGCCAACGGGCGCGTGAGCTACTGGCTGGCGGGCGGCAGCGCGGGCGCGGCGGGCGCGGCGCCGCTGGTGTCGGTGGAGGCGCGGAGCGGCGCGCTGTACGCGCAGCGCTCCTTGGACTACGAGCAGTGCCGCGAGTTCACGGTGGCCGTGCGGGCGCAGGACGGCGGCTCGCCGGCGCGCAGCTCCACGGCCACGGTGCGCGTCTTCGTGCTGGACCGCAACGACAACGCGCCCAGGGTGCTCTGGCCCGCGGCGGCGGCGGCGGCGGGAGAGGGTCCGGGAGGGGCGGCGGCGGCGGCGCCTTTCGAGGTGGTTCCGCGCTCGGCCGAGGCCGGCTACCTGGTGGCCAAGGTGGTGGCGGTGGACGCGGACGCGGGGCGCAACGCGTGGCTGTCCTACGAGCTGGTGCAGGCGTCGGAGCCGGCGCTGTTCCGCGTGGGGCTGCACAGCGGCGAGGTGCGCACGGCGCGCGCCGTGGGCGAGCGGGACGCGGCCAAGCAGCGGCTGGTGGCCGTGGTGAAGGACCACGGGCAGCCGGCGCTGTCGGCCACGGCCACGCTGCACGTGGTGCTGGCCGAGAGCTTGCAGGAGGCGCTGCCGGAGCTGAGCGAGCGGCCGGCGGGCGCCGAGGCGGCGGCGGCGGCGGCGGCCGAGCTGCAGTTCTACCTGGTGCTGGCGCTGGCGCTGCTCTCGGCGCTCTTGGTGCTGAGCGTGGCGCTGGCCGTGCTGGCGCGGCTGCGCCGGGCCGGGCCGCCCGCCGTGCTGCGCTGCCTGGGCGCGCAGCGCTTCTCGCTGGCCGGCGCCGCCTTCCCGGCCGACTTCTGCGAGGGCACCTTGCCCTACTCCTACAACCTGTGCGTGCCGCCGCCCGCCCGCGCCCTGCCCGAGGCCGCTTGGCCGCCGCCGCCGCCGGTGCCCATCCTGTCGGCGGAGGAGCTTCTGGGCGGCGATTCCTGCGACAAGCCGAGCCCGAGCACTGACCTCGTCGAGGGAGAACCGCCGGCCAATCCCGATGCACCACAGGTCCGTAAAGCGTGAGCTTCTTCTGTTTCTAAAAGTTCCCGGAATGTCATCGTTGTTTCCCGCGTGTTCTCTGCGTGGTGTCAGTGGGGATTCTTCATCTGTATCTCCACGTAACGTCGGAAGTTTTTAATTTTTCTCTCTGTAACAGCTTCAGCTGACAGGCTTTGTTGATAGCTCTCCTTTCGGCTAGTAGCAGCGTTTCTCTGTGTTTCTCCTTGTTTCTCGGAGTTGTGTTTATGTGATTTGCACAGTCCTGTCTCCGTGACAGACTGAGTTAAGGAACGGGCTATCCCCCGTTCATGGCGAGCAGGAAGCTCTTGGTTCTTCCTTCGTCACTGGTTCAGCTTTAGGCTCACGGTTTTGTCTTCAACACTCGTGCTCCATAAATTAGAATCTATTAGCAACATTGAAAGCAGATTCGTATTCTGTGGAACGAGAATGGCTGATTCTGCATGACGGGGTCGAGGATAAAAGAAGAGAGCAGTGGTCTCTGGTGTTGGAGATATTTCTTTCCTGACTTATTTGTTCGGAATGATGTGCTTGGAACTCGTGTATAGCTTTACCCAAAACCGTTCCTTATTTTTTTCCGTGGTTAGATTTAGAAAGGAATGGAATGTGGAAAGTTCCTTTCACTCTTTTTTCTGAGTGAAGGAAGAGAATGTCGCTCGTTTTGGCAGGAATGCAGTAGTGGGACCAGATTGCTTCGTTCATGCGTCCTGGCTGGCAGTTCGCTCTGTTTTGCTCTTCATGATCTTTTTTTCATACACTGGTGAGAATGCTGAAAGATTTCTGTTTCAGAGATTGTTATTTTTCTATCTCAGAACGGTGTTGGGGTTGTTAGCAGGTCTCAAATATCTCGAGAACAGCAAAACTTTGCAATTCTGTTTATTAGGATAAACATCTGAGATATTAAGGGATCCCATATCAGGGAGATTGGCCAGAGGAGGGTTTAGGCAGTTGAATCAAGCCCATTTGCACATTGATTATTGGTCAGCACAGTTTCACGTGTTGTACTTTTGTTCCACGGTCCCATAATTATTTTCTTGAACACATTGCCAAGAACACCATTAAGAGATACTTAGACGAATATTTTACTAACGAGCCTTAGTGCTTCAGACATTGATTTCTGAAAAAAGGAAAACTACAATGATTTGATTAAACGTAAATCTGTATAAACTAAGGAAACACTAGGGGCATCCACTAGGAAAGGATGTCAAACATTTAAAGTCCTGAAACTTTACTTTGAGAGTTTCAGCTGCATTTTTATTTGTACCCATAATTGAATTCTGTAACAATAGGCTCCCTGACTTCAAGAAGTGTGCAATTGCTCTTGTCCCCCTTGTGTTAATAAACCTGATAGCTTCGTTTCTTCGGGATATGCTATCTTCCCGTTTTCTGTATGGGAGGCTGTTGTTGAAGGTGCTTCTGAACAAAACCGAGAGGATTAAGAATAAGCTACAGGGTAAAATATCTATTTTAACTTACGTATAATGACATTAGTAAGTGATGAGTTTCCCGTGCGATTAAAGAACGCCGGCCACAGAATGCCTCTGCCTTCCTCCCGATGGTGATAGCCTGGAGGATGAAAGCAGAGATGGGCTGGAGAAATGCGGAGGCAGGAGATCGGCGCTGGACGAAAAGCGCCATCTCGGTGGCGACCGTGGCCTGTATGGAGCAAGGCAGGGCGGGCAGCGCTGGGCAGCGCTCGGTGCCTGCAGTGCCAGGAGGAGGCTGCGGGCGCCGCTGTTGACCGAGAGGAGCGAGAGGAAGCTCGGAGCGCTACCGGCAGCCCCGCCCGCTGCGGACCCGCTCGGTCACTCGCTCGCTCGGGGTCTGGCTCGGCGGCGGGCGGTCTGCGATCGTCCCTGCGGTGCAGAGCCGTTCTGCAGGGAGGCAGAAAAGCCGGCGAGAGCACCCGGGAGCGGCGAGTCGGAGCGTGAGTGGTACGCGGTGCTGCGATGCCGGCGGAGATGTGCGCGGCGGGGAGGCGCTGGGGCCGGCGGCAGCGAGCTCTGCTCTGGGCCGTGCTGCTGGCGGCGTGGGAGGCGGCGTGGGGGCAGCTGCGCTACTCGGTGCCCGAGGAGATGCCCAAGGGCTCCTTCGTGGGCGACGTCGCCAAGGATCTGGGGCTGCAGCTGACGGAGATCCGAGATCGCGGATTTCGCATTGTAGAAAGAGGTCGGACGCAGTATTTCACTCTTAACGAGAGGACGGGACATTTAGTGACGGCAGAGAGGATCGACAGAGAGCAGCTGTGCCCGCTGGTGGAGAAATGCGTGCTGCGCTGTGAGCTGATAGTGGAGGGGGAAATGAAGTTCTATGAAATAGAAGTGGAAATCACAGACATTAATGACAACGAGCCCATTTTCCGAGAGACGGAAAAAGAATTAAGAGTGAGTGAGATGACAGCTCCGG